TGTGTGTGTGTGTGTGTGTGTGTGTGTGTGTGTGTGTGTGTGTGTGTTTTTGTGTGTATGTAAGTAGCTCGGTCGTGTTAATAGACTGTGTGATATGTTATGAGGATGGAAGAGAACAATTTAATTGTTTATTTGCATGTGGATGTGAGTGTGTGAATGACACTGGTTAATAAATTAAATAGGATGTTATTTTTCTACTACGTTAGTTAGTAAATATTTTATTTATATTATTTTAGCATTTTAAACAAGTTCGTAAAAAGAAACCTAAATTCATAATATATATTTATACATTAAATTACTATATAATACATAATATAATGAATATACATATTATATTTGCATACCTACATATATTTATCTCAAAAATAATTTCAAATTACTTTTACTTTATTTTTTCCAGAAAATATTCTTTTAGTTTGTTTTTAATATTTTGGTGGTTCACTTCTTGTTTTAGGGTAGTTGTTGTAATTCATTGATTAAGGAGGGTATCTTGTAGATAAGTTGGTTATAACCCATTGTAGGTCAATGTTATAACCGTATTGATTTTGACAATTGGGTAAAGTGAGCCTCAGTTGTGTATTGCTTCTGATTGTCATGTTAAAACTATGATGTTTTATTGGCAGCTTTGTGACTATTCATTCACTCAGTTCGTACTATGACGCAACTAAAGTACTCAATATTGCTCTTATATCAAATTTAGCAATCTTAAAGTATGCAATGGAAACAATATTATTTTCAGTTTTTTGTCTTAATATCCATTTGTAATGAAAAGTTAAGTTTAACTTATTTATTTACATATATTTCTTCAATATTTTGTTTATTTTTTATTAAAAAAATAAAAATATGCGATGTATATTTCGTAACACAGCGTCATCTATATGCTCCTTGGCAAAACTAACAGTTGACACTAGACTATAATTCCCAATTCACAACGTGACTATCAGCTTGTTTTGTTTAGTTTTCTTCGTGAAAATGCGGAAAAATTATTGAAAACAACGTAATTCTAATAGATTTTAGTATTTCATACTTTTCTTTTTTTTAACAGTCAAAATTCTCTGAATGTAAATAACATTAAGTACTTGAACATTATACTACGATGTGACGATTCGGAACTTCAAAGAGGAAAGAGATGGCATTATAGAATTCACATAGCGTTCTCTCTTTCTTATTTTTAGTAAGGAATAGACAATATTGGGAAATCATTCGTTCTTTCTATCACTTTTGCAATAATACGTTACCTGGGTGACAGGTTCGTCATGGTACTACGAATATGAATAATATTATAATAAGCTTACTTTAAGCTTACATTGAAATAAGATTGTTATTGGAAAGGTTATGGCAGGTCCCCTGAACCACTAGGTGCAGTCACTAGTCAAGTGGCTGTACGCGGCCACCAGTCGTAGCCACTAGTTGTACATATCCACATTATCGTACACGTCTGCGTCCACTAAAATTTGTAAAAAAAAAATTTGTAAAATATATTTAAGCGCACAGTTCGTTCCAAGTTCCGGTTCTTCTTCCTCTGTCACTGTATAAATCTGTCTTCAAGTCATCAAATGGTGTCTTCGATATCGACGTCCCCACCGAATAAACGTGTAAAAGCTTTTACGGTAATTATTTTTTTTGGGCATTGTTGGATTTTCCCGCTCAAAATACACCTCATATTTCTTTACAGAATTATTTTCCAATTAATTGTATAATTTTTTGGTACTCCAATGTTTGTTTTAAGGACAGTATAAAATGAACAATCTCACACGAATATTGCAAGTATGTATTTTGTACTATCAACTCTTGCATGTTTATAACAAACTTTGTAATATTGTTCATAGGATTATTTAAGAAATCTTTAAAATTTCTAATGCATTTTTGCACCTTTAAAATTAAGACCAATTACTAGAATAACTATGTAACGTAATATTATATAATATTCGCATTGATAAATCTTAATATCCACAGTAAAACAAAGTAATATTATGTTACATTTAAAAGTAAATATACAACTTTTCCCACGAATAATAGTGTAAAACACCACAAGCCAATAGCCGCCACAAAGTAATTTTTACTAGAATAAAAATTTGAAAGGAGTTTTTATTAATTTCTGATAAACTATCAATATTTTTATGTTTCATATATAACATATAATGTTTTTTTTAATTTTAATTTGGTCCTATTTTGTATTTAAGTATCAATCACCAACGAGTAATATTATTTTTTAAGTTTTTAATCGTTCCCTTAAAGTTGCAGTTTTTCCTTTACACGTTTATACGGTGGGGTCGTCGATATCAGAAATAAAACATTTATCTACATCGAAATGCGTATTTATCATATCCATGCGCGATCACTGTACGCGAAGCCGCCGCGTCAGTGGTCGAGTATAGGCGACGAAAACCCCAAATAGCTAGCGCTAATCACTCCCGTAGCTCGTGGCTAGGACGCGGACACTCAAACGACTGTCAATTGCTGCAGCTCTAAAATTCACAATATGTAAAAACAATTTCTATCGAAAGCGGCTACAAACGCGCCCTTAAGAGATATTATTTATAACATAAACACTTTGACGTTATAATATTCTGAGTATATAAAAAAATTGTAAGGTGCCTGAGACACAATCGTGCGGTTCCGCCATCTTGTGAAAGCGAGGTAGCGGTAACAACCAGCCAGCACCCGCCGCGTCTGAAGCCTATAAGGAAGTGCGCTATAAAGTTTATGGAGTTTTAAGAGTGGTTAATAATGGCCCTTTGAAGTTACCGACACACGGTGGATTCGACAGGCTCTTACAGGAGAGTCCGCGCCGGCACGAACGGCTCTCTCCTCATGACGCGTGAATGAAAAGTGCGAGCTGGTGTGGCGTGACCATGAAGCCACGAGCCATGGGAAGCGACATAATAATACTGTATTCTTTCTCGTTTTTAACTGCCTCCGTGGCCGAACGGTTACCATGCCGGGCTGCCACGCAGAGGTCTCAGGTTCGATTCCGGGGCCGGGAGAAACATTTGTATGGCCTACATTTATTTCTCTCGTGAGTTTGGGTGTAATTTGTGGTTGTCTATGTGTGTGTCCATGGCACCCGCGACACAGGGTTTCCCTAGCGCACTAGCCCCGCAGGGCTATGTTGAGTGTGTGCGTTATTATATTATTATTATTATTATTATATGAAACCCACAATTATGCAAGTGTGTATAATAATGTTATATACATTTTTATACAATTTTAAGAAAAAGTGCCTATAATTACGATGAAAATTCCATGGATTCCACCCCTATGTTGTGGATATTCCCAGGATTCGCACAAAGCGTTTCGCTTCCACATTTAAATGGCTAGCGGCTAGGGAGTGGAATTCCCTGCCTGCGGACGTATTCCCCGAACGGTATAACTTGGACCTTTTCAAGGCGAGAGTGAGTAGGCATTATTTAGGTGTATATGCTACATCGTCGACCTCATCACATGAGATCCATCAGGTGAGATGGAGGTCAAACGCGCACTTATTTTTGATAAAAAAAAGGTGATGCAAAGTATCAATAAACACTTAATTAGAAAATTTTAAAAAGATATTCATAAAAAATTTCTCACTTTTTTCTTTGTTACAGATAAGAATAACTTACGCATCCTTGTTCCGTCGACCCAGCACGTCACTGACCTGACTCATAACCAATTTTAATTTTTTTGGTCCTTAATTTTATGCTTTTTTTTTAATCTTACTTATTTACTTTGTATATACTAACCTTTTATACAGTCATTTATTTTACTGTGCAGTTTTCTCCAAGGTAATTTCACCGTTTTTAACCTTAGATGACGTGTTCGAGGAGCCCATAATTAGGTCCATGTTACCAAACGGTCTTTAATATCCGACGACGAGATTATCTCTTTTTCAACTTTGATTTTTTTACCTCAATTGTTACTGTTCATTACTTTATTTATTTTTCACTATTTATAATTTTTATTTTTATTTATATTTTATACTACATTATACTCTTATTGCATTTATTTAAGCTTAATAATGTGCAAGTTAATATTATAAAATGGGCTGCAAAAAAGGGAAATTTTATTATAATCACAAGATGTACCTATTATGATCATTTCAATAAAGGTTTCAGTAGCAGTAGAGCTCCTTGTGAAAGAGTTCGTCCAGTGTAGTACTACCATCTTACCTAAGTCTGCCGCCAAGCAGTAATGTCAGTATTACTGTGTTCCGGTTTTGCACATGGGACTTGTCAACTTATGTCTCAGGCGCAGTGGTAGTGCCCCTCAGATCTTTGCAATTTTTAAATCTCTGAGTAGCACTGTAACTGTTATGGACAGGCGCGTAGCTTACCATCTGGTGCACGACTTCTTCGTCCCTTCACTTGATGTTATAAAAAAAATGAAAAGATAATTCCGGTCGGGAAGGACAGTTTCCAAACAGACATTCTCACTACGACCGATTCCCAAAAGGACAAACTATTTATATTCGCATTAATAACAATTTCATACAAAAAGAGGAACACTTGAAACCATTCCATCGATTGTTTCACCTTAAATTAAATTAAATATTACATTATACTTCGCATCCTAGGGTGTATATGGCCACATCAGCAAAATTACGACTTTTCAGGTTCTGCAACCGAAATTAGTCAATTGCAATCATTCTTATGCTCAAATAGGAGAGTTTTAATTTCGCCACATATGCATAAATTATAAAATAAAAAATTGGCTAATAAAGTTGTAAGCACGAAGGAAACCGAAGGTGTTTAATTTTATTTTAACTCTTTTTTTATAATATTAATTGACGGGACGAACAAGTCGTGTGCTTGATGGTAAGTAGGTACCGTTTGTAAGTGCCGATGGTAAGTGTCGCTTACCACCAGGCGCGCACCACTTGTTTGTCCCGTCACTTAGATCATAAAGAAAACATGCTATTCCGAGTTCTAGCTTGTATCACGATACCATATCGGCAATGTAGACATTGACGACAAAAATTAATACCAGCTCTACAATTTTAGGAAAAAGCATCGAGTATATGACCAGAAACAGAGACGAAACAAGGGCCTTCCATCCCTGGCAACTTATCAGTCAAATGGACCCTAAAAATTGTCGTTTGCGCCGAAATCACAAATAAGAAAGCTGAAATAGTACAGCGCCATCCGTATATTCCAAAAATATTCTGTATTGTAATAAAGATATCTCTAACAATGGAGGACTGTTCCATTGGTGGTGTGGGAAACGCAGCAAAACATCTAATTGCAAAACAAACGTAATCACATTTCATCGGTAAGTAAATATTAAAAAAGTAATTTTTCAATTTTCGTCCATTATAGCAAAGCTCAAGTTAAACTGGTCGATTTGAAGTAAAATAATTGACGACACCCATCAATTGTTTCGAATTCCGGCAGGCCAATCGGAGCGCAGTTGTCATTAATGTCATTTTGTCATCTAAATTCTTGATATTTTCTTTATTGTACTTTGTTGCCTTTATTCATTTTGATGGCAATTTTTATTATTTAAATATTCTAGAATATTATCGAGAAGTATTTAATATTCCGAATATAAAAGTATTATTATAGTATTCCGTATCCTGAAATATTTCTTAGTATTAAAAGATAATATACACGAAAACTTAAATAATAAGAATTGCCATCAAAATTGGGAATAGTATACTAACCTGAAAATTACGCATTTCTTATTTGTTCTATATGATGTCATCGAACAAAATGAGACGTTTCCCCAAAATAGTTCCAAGTTACTTTTGATACGTAACAATTTGTTGATCACATCGATATTACATAAAAAAAAAGTTTATTATCATTTGTTCTATATATAACGTCGTGTCGTGTTCAATGTGCGATCGGAAACGGACGCGCTGCACTACTTTGTGAGAATTATTTTAATTCGCGATTTTGCGCGGCTTAGGCTGCTGCATGTACGTAAGTGACAATGTGTTCCCAACAACTCATTGTCAATGAGTTTCTGGCATTCGTGCAGAATGCCATCGACACAATGGATGAAGTCAGCATCGAGCAGATCTGCAAATCTAATTTCAACGAAGATGAGATTTGCAGTGGCAAGATGCTGCTGTTCCAGAGCTGCGGCAAAGCGCAGCAGATGCCATCTCGTCGGAGGGATGGAGGCTTGAAGAGTGTCCAGGATGTTACTGCATTCTTGAAGAATACCGATCCGGACGACGTGCCTACTTTCGTGGCGAAGGAGCTGCACAAGTTGCCTCCGGTCACCTTTGACCACGTCGACGTCACCAGGCTGTTAAAGGACATCACGTCCTTGAAGTCGAGTTTGGCTGAAGTTCAGTCAAAATTGGAGGCGTCGGATAACTCCATAAGTGAGCTACGTGCCGAAGTTGCGTTGTTACGCAACCCCGCTTCGGTATGTAGGTCACCGACAGTCTCCTACGTCAACACGCGTCGCGGGGCGCGAAAAGCATCCGTCGGCAGTATTGAGTCGGCTCGTATGTCGCCGGTCATTGCTGTTGTCAATGCACCGTGCCCCCCTGCCCGCCCCTCCGCCTCGGAGGTTACGTCACCCGTATGCACGTCATCGCCCGGGCGTGCATACGCCGCTGTTGCCGCGACTATTAGCAGCGGAACCGCGACTTCAAAACCCGAGTTGCGGAAAACTGCAAAGGGCGGTAGTAAACCCCGAATGCCTGTCTCTGGAATCGCAGGTGCCAAATCTCAGAGGCAGACCGACAGGTGCGACGAGGACGGCTTCACAAAGGTGGAGAAGAGAAGAAAGAAACCCACCAGCCGAAATCTATGTGGCACAGCTCTAACGGGACAGAACTTCTTGCTTCGTGCGGCCATACCGACGACGCAGTTGTACCTGTCTCGACTGCATTACTCCACGAAGTCTGAGGATATAGTGGAGTATATCCGGTTGAAAGCCCAATTCACCCTGAGGGTCGAACGTTTGGAGTCTCGCCACAACGTTAACTTTAATTCGTTTGTGGTGAGGGTCCCAACGGCCCATCTGTCGACCTTCATGCAGGTAGAGTTTTGGCCGAAGGGTGTCAGGTTCCGGCGGTTCAGAGGAACGATACATGACACTTGTTTGCGTCACACGTCGCCGAATAGTAATTCGTGTAAATAGTTAATATTTTATATGTATGTTAGTTTGTAAGGTATGTATCAATAATAATAATAACATGTATGTTAGTCTGTAAGGTATTTGTTATATGGGCCTTAGTTGCCTGAAATAAATGAATAAATAAATAAAAAAATAAATAACGATATTACATAAAAAAAAAAGTTTGTTATCATTTGTTCTATATATAACAATTTATTAGAAAAAGTTATTGCCTGTGCTATGGAACAAATTAGCAAAAATTGTCTCATTTTATCCGATGAAGTCACGTCACATATAGACCAAATATGAACTACCCGAATTTTTGACCGTTTCCTCGTGCTTCTACTGGATGCTCCCACAGGTAGGAACACTAGTATTATTATGACCTTATGCTCCTACCAGTACGACAAAAAGGATAAATATAAACCTCATGCAACCTACTAATATACTGTCACCTATTTTTATACATATAATTGATATTGTTGCGATGCTCTAAGCTTATCGGCTTTATCAAAGAAAACAGAAGTGCATTAACAATTTAATTAGTTTATGACCACTACCTCTATGTTTACCGTTTTGTCTAAATCTAAAAACAACAAAGTTTAGAAGACGATAAACTAGATAAAAGCGGCTGTATAACTGAAACAATAACACGAAGGACATTGAAAATTTATTTAAATTAACAATTTGTTTCTGTAAGTAAATGTTTCTATTTTTTGTTGTTATAGATTCTTTTCTCAGTTAAGTGTACCATCGAAGTTCATCTATCAAATTCTGAAAATAAACGTGTCCTTAACTTGACGTTGGCGGAATCATCGATTGTATTGATGGAGCTACTCACACTTTGTCTATAAAATATATATAATTTCATCACTCATCATCGTTTTTCTCTTTGGTAGCGTATTTGTTCCAGGCAAGAGTCGCTTTTTGGTTGAAATCTTTCTTGCTCATAGGCTGAAGATGCGCTGTTGCCACTCGATCTCTGAAAGATAAAACACACCCTTTTTGTAATAAGGCCACATCTGCAAAATAAGAACTTGCTCAGGTTTGAAGATTCTATTGAAGAATTTAGTCGAAGCTTTTTTATGCTTAAATCGAGTCATAAAATTTCACATGTAATGTGCATCATCGAGTGGATGTACTCGATCGTGTGGTTTCAGTTTTTCATGTGATAAAAGAACTTTTTTACTACATAAAAAAACGGAAGAAAGACGTCGGGTCGGCAGCACGGCGGGTCTAATTCCGTGAATTTATATGGGCGACAACACACCACACGTGAGCGCGTGACGGGCGCATGTCGCGTGGTTGATGTGTTTCACGCTTTATAATGCAACGAACTGGACGCCTACGATAAAGCTTGTGCCCAGTTAGCTCAGGATCGGGATGTGTGGAGGGATCAGGGGGAGGCCTTAGCCCAGCCCAGTCGAGATACATCACGGTAATGCATAATTTTTTAGTTTACTCAATTATACTATAATATTGATCATTTTTTACTTGATAACATAAAATGTAAAATTTAACTAATGTTTGTATTACTCTTTACTTCCTATTCTTATAATTTATAATAAAATTCTAATTGTTATTTACGCTATTGTACCAACGAGTATATAACCAGAAATACAGACGAAATATCATTTAATTTGTTTGAAAACTATTCTGCCATATCATTACGGTGATAACTGCGCTCCGATTGGCCAGCCCGAATTCGAAATGATTGACGGGTGTAGTCCTTCAAATCTACCAGTTTAACTTGAGCTTTGCTATAATGGACGAAAATTTAAAAATTTGATATTTAATTACCGATGAAATGTGATTCCGTTTGATTTGTAATTAGATGTTTTGCTGTTTTTCCCGCACCACCGAATAGAGCAGCCCCCATTGTTATACATATTATCTTTATTATAATAAATACAGAATATTTTTGGAATATACGGAGACGTACACACAGGTCAGTTGTTGGCGCTGTACTATTTCAACTTTCTAATTTGTGATTTCAGCGCAAACGAGAGTTGATATTTAAAAGTAGTGATGAAAGAGACTCAGTCTTTTAAGGCGTTTTATAACGACTCGACACCATTTTTCAGGACTCGACTCTAAAATTAAGACTGGGGTTCAAGTTTTTATTAATAAGACTCAGTCGTTATACTAAAAGACTTAAATGACTCGAGTTGTTTGCAAAGGACTTATACCTATTTTATGTCTTATTAAACCCGAAGTTTATAAATAAAAATGACGTAAGTAGTATGTAGTAAATAATCACGTTTATTTACTTATAATAAAAATCGTAAAATAAATACCTTGTGGCTAGAAATAAAATCACGCCATACGGCTCATGACTCGCGACTCCCGAGGTTATGAGGCGCCAGGTGTTTTAGTCGTTTTCGTCTTTTTAGTCGTTATAGTCCTATAAGTCTTTTAAGCTTCCTAGGGTTAAAAGACTTCGACTAGAATTAGTCTCCACTTTTAGTCTTATGACTCAAGACTTGAGGGGTGAGACTAGACTAGTCTTGAGGCGTTAAAAATTAGTCGAGGTTTTTTAAGAGGCCTTGAAAGCCTGAGTCTCTTTCATCACTATTTAAAAGTGATATAAGGTCCATTTACCTGATGAGTTGCCAGAGATGGATGGCCCTTATTTCGTCTCTATTTCTTGTTATATATTCGATGTATTGTACCTATAAATTTAACTTTAAACGTATGCTATATCAAAAGTTACATAAGCAAAGTGTATAATATTCGCATGCTTGTTGAAATGTACAATGTTGAACCGCACGCTGTTGAAGCCGTGACTGCATGCGATTGACCATGCATTACTGTTTACCGGATTGACCACAAAGTGAAAACTCTTCTGATTAAATAAAACTACAGACACACACTAAAATAATACATTCTTCCCGAAAAACAACTACATTCCTTAGGCCGCCGCCATTAGAGCCAAACTCTTGACAGTTCTCGTGCGTAGTAGCAGTTTTAGCAACTTATTTTATTAACACTTAGAATGAATGTTGTTATAATAATATTCCTTATATGTAAATTAATAAAACATTAAAAAACTTCATTCCTATTGCATAAAAAATAAAATAAACAGAACAGATCATTTATGAATTTCATTTAAGAAGAACACAAAAACATAACTACATAATCACAGATAATACAATACTATACATAATTTAGTTACGAGTCTCACTGCTATAAAAAGATACTTGAAGTGTTCGATCTTCCAGTGGAGTAATTTCACATAAAAAATAATTGAATATCAATTCAATAAAAACTTAAATGCAGTGAATAGCGACATTTCTAGCCGGGGCTGGTAGCGGTAAAGGTATAACTGGCTGAATACTTTCATAGATTTCTCATAGATGGCGCTACGACTAAAAAGTCGTTGAAAAACCAAATACAAAGACACGACAACAAGCACATAGGAAAATCGTAAGGGCAGCTGGTTCGTTCCGTGGCTTAGTTGATGTAGTGTTTGGCACGGTATGCTAGAAGACGTCGGTTCGAAACCGGCCGGATCAAAGGAGTTTTTTTCGATCTTTGTTTTAATAATTAGAACAAGCTAGTGGAGTAATTTCACATAAAAAATAATTGAATATCAATTCAATAAAAATTTAAGATATACTAAAATTTATCATTCATTTTTATGTAATCTAACAAAATGAAATCATGCACACTCACGCAAACTCCTCGTAAGTCTTAGCAGTGTAAATAGCGTCGCATTTGATGTCATTCACTCGACTATACCGTCTGTCCTGTTCCACGGAGTCTCGAAGCTGCTTCTCCATTTCCTTGAAGTCGTCTGTACTGAGCTTGTTCATGGCTCTGTTCATAAGTTGTAACAATAAATAATAGACTATACGACAACATCATGTTATCATTTGAGAATAGCGACTATGTAGACATGCTACGATAACGTTTGTGAAACAGTTCGTCCAGAGAAGTACTGCCAACTATTTCTACCGCCATGCAGTAATGTTAGCATTACTGCCTTCCGGTTTTGAAGGGTAAGGGTGCTGGTGAAATTACAGACACATGGGACTTGTCAACTTAGGTACGTCTCAGGGTGACGCCTACCCCGCAAACCTTTGTTCTGAGTGGCACTGTAACAACACCAGGCATATGATTTGTTCGTTCCGTCATTTGATATCATAAAAAAGTTTCCTATCCCATTAGAGATTTACTTTCAATATTCATCCTATATACTACCTATACATTTTTTATTAATTTTGTTCTACTATACTAATGTTATTACTATTTTTGCTATTATTACTTTCTATGTTTATTATCTCTAACATTTCGCCTGAAAGCTCCAATCCCAGATCAGGAAATAAATAAAGTTATCTTTATAACTTTTATGGCTAATTTGAGGTCAACCCTAATAACCGATCCGTTTTACAATGCGATTGTCACCAGACTTTCGAAGGAAGACATTCGCGATTCTATTTGCCGAGAGAAATGTCCATCCAACAGTGGTACTAATTATTTAATATTGTAAGTTACCTGTTATTTGATAGTTTCTTTAAATAATAAACACTGATCGAAAAGCGCGTTTCCAGAAAAATACGGTCTGTGATCTGAGATAACAATATTCCATGGCAACAAGTTTTCAGTTTCCATGGCAACACTTTTTTCAATTTTTTCTGGTACTGTTTTTTCCATTCTTAAATTGGGCAAAGGCACTTAGTGCGACACACAGCCTAGTTTTTTTTTATCCTCTAAGCTAGATTGAGGGTCGTATTCCAGAACTCTACTCAATGCTCAAGTCAAGACTTGAGTATGATTTCAAGCACAGGAAATACGACCATAATGGCAATCACTTGAGTATGATTACTAGTGTTTTAAATCATACTCAAGTCCAGACTTGAACATTAAGTTCTGGAATGCAATCATGAGAGTAATTTCTTTATCTTTGCGAAGATGCGAGCACTTTCAGCGTCATTCAAGGAACCAGAGAAAAGGGTGACAAATTGGTGTTTTGTCACCCTTTTCTCTGGTTCCTGGCCACTTACTTTGAAATTTTGAATCGCTCTTAAGTTCCCTTTCTTGGTCACACTTACTTTTTTTTTATTTCCGTCGCCTCTCTCTATTAAATTTCCTAAAAAAATAGACTTCACATTCTGACCAGCCATACCATTAAAAATGATGTAATCTCTGTGACCTAACTGCTTGTAAAGTATTATATTTGTAGTACCATTGAAAATCATGTAACCGAACTGATTTTAAGCACAGTATTTCTAGAAAATAAAGGCCCTTTTGGGGTAAGTTCCTTTTTTAACCTGTGTCTAATTAAGTAAGGAATGTTTTTATAAGATTGTACCTGGTTTATATCATTTTGTTTTGTTACAGCCTTTACGCTTTTACTTTACCTGTTCTTTTCCCTTCCTGTACCTTCTTTCTTATTTCTACAATAAAATTCATGTTGCCCGAGCCTTCCATTCATTCAGCCTTCCAATTTATTTATGTTGATAGCAGCAAATTCGATCTCTCAGCCTGGATTATCTAATGGCGTCATAAAACATCTTGTAATGTGAGGTAATTAGAAGATTCCGAGTCATTGAAAAGCCAACAATACATGCGTCTGCCACACACTTAGGTACATCGTCTGTTAAAACCAAGGTGGCATGTAGTCTGGTATCTCCCATAAACATGTCACGCGGGTTCTGCACAATAATGATAAAAAGTATCGCTCGGTCCACATTAATTTATTGTAGAACATAAACACTAGAGAAAAGATGAAGGAAAAGAAAGAAGAAAGGAAGGAACAGGCTGAAACAAAAGACAATGGTACAAAAACACTCCCTACAGATTAGACATAGACATACAAAAAGGGCTGTACTCATAGGGTGTACTACGTGAGTGCGAATGCCGATTACGCGAATGACGATAGTGCGAAGACAGTTGCGCGATAGTTGCATTTGCGCGAATGGTCAGATGCGCGAAAGCTTAATCTAAAAAAAAAAGCAAATTAATTGTTGCAATGCGTATTAAATCATAATAAATAAATACTTACGTTTATTTTTGTCAAATTTTTCTTTAAATTAACCAAACAAAGCAATCTTTAATTACGATCAATCAAAAAACATTATCGAAAATTATATTATAACGATTTTTTTGTCCCGATTGCAACAACCTGCAGCCATAGGAGTACTTGCAACAATTAATTTGCCTTCCAGCTTTCTCAAATCTGTCTTCGTGCTATCGTTATTCGCGCAAATGAATTATCGCACATTTAAGCTTTCACGTAACCGTCTTCGCACTATCATCATTCGCGTAATCGGCATTCGCACTCACGTAGTACACCCGTATTCGTATGAAATATATTGCCGCTTTATAAGCAGTTAGGTTTACATGATTCTCGAACACGTCTTTTCTCTCCGAGAATTTTGATGAGAGTGACGACGGAACGAAGCAAAGTAAGAATGACGAAGAAAAAAATTTGAGAACGATTCAAAGAACAGTGGAAAAATCATAGCTAAAATAAATCGTTAGCGTCTTCAAATGTCTTCATTACAAGTTTGAATAAAATACATTCATTAGGTTTTTCAAATTATAACAGCGGCCTATCTAACCCTGGAAATAATATTTAAAAGAAACTCTAATGACTAATTAGTATGTAACAGTGTATAACAGTGTATGTAAAATCAAGGATAGATGACATCCAGCGCCCGTGTGCGCCGCCATCCTGTACCATAGGTAAAGCTGGCACTGCCTACCAGTCTTCTTTAGTTTAAAGAATGCATTATATTTACAAGAATTGTGCTCTCGGTCAACCTGTTTTGAAAGGCATTAGATCCTAATGCAAGTTGAGCGTTATCAATTTGAAAACAATACAAGGTTGACCAAACACTTAGCGAAAAAAAAGTCATGCAGTAAAGGCCGATAAGTTACTTTTAGACTATACGACGGTAGCGCTACTTTTGACATTAATGAGAACTAATTACTTCTGCAGTCACGTGTTTCGAGATTCCGCTACTTGGCGGCACAAATATCATTTAAAACTTTCTTGTTTCAAATATTCAATGTTTATTTTATTATAAATAGTTTTATTTTATGACATGTGTTTATTATTTTATTAACCTCGTGGAAATAGTTTTCTTTGTTTGCAAGTTTGCGTTTGCATGCATTACAACGGATTTAGTGACCTTATCTTTATCGTAAAAAATCATATTGTTATTGTTTTATACGTTATGAGAAAAGTAGATATTTATATTTTTAATTTCATTTCGTTAAACATTATTTTGTCGGTTTTGAGTTTTTGTCACAAGCACCCTTTCAACTAACGGCGGAAGTAGTTATTTAAATATACTTAATACTAACATGTTAGTAACAATCGAATTTTGAAATTCATTTTTTTAGAAGTATTTTTATTCGTTACTTTACCTTCCGTAAAACAAGTTGAGTTTGAAGGAGCCAAGTTATACTGCAACCACGTGATTACAAGAAGACTCAGAAGCACATTGCCGACGAATCAAAACGGCATCTAATACACAACTACTTAACCGCTACACAGTTTTTTCAAGCATTATGTTAAAGAGTAAGTTTACTTTATATTTGTATTGACGAAGTTATACTAAGTTTTTTGGAAACCTGTTGGGTTTCTCTTAGCCACAAATTAAGCTGTATACACGCAGTCACTACAATTGCGAATTTGAACAATACGTGAATGTTGTAATGTGCGATTTTCGGTAAAGAATTTTGACAAATGGAGGAGCGCCCGATGGAACATATCCCATATTACAACCTGTAATATTAGGGGTTAAAGTATGAAATTGCCGTTTTATTGCAATAGGTTCTTTGAATTTTCATAGAATCTTCATGGTTTGAGGTTTTCGAATGAAACTTTTTTCAAATGGTTTCTGTGATTTTTTTTTTTAATTTGAAACATTTGAATATCGACTTTCAATTGTTTTTGTTATTCAATTTAGACAAGAAAGATGGATACTGCGAAAATTCGAGTGATTTTTGAATACGAGTTCCGACGCGGAACTAACGCGGCAGAAACAGCCCGCAATATCAATGCTGCGTTTGGAGAGGGGTCTACTAATGAATGCACCGTGCGATTTTGGTTTAAACGCTTTCGTGATGGAAATTTCGACTTAAAGAACGAGTCACGAGGAAGACCGCCCACACAGGTGAATAACGATGAATTAAGAGAGATAGTGGAAGCCGATCCTAGTCAAACTACCCAGGAATTAGCGGCATGGTTTAACGTTACCTTACCCACAATATTGACTCACTTGCGTCAAATCAATAAAATAAAAAAATACGAAAAATGGGTGCCTCATGATTTGACTGATCTGCAGAAAGAAACGCGTGTTGAAACTTGTGTTGCCTTGTTGAACCGGTACATGAAGGAATATTGGATCAAATTGTAACATGTGATGAAAAGTGGATTCTTTATGATAACCGGAAAAGAAAATTGCAATGGCTGACCCCAGGTCAAATGCCACAACAGTGTCCTAAAGCAAAACTTACCAATAAAAAGGTAATGGTAACTGTTTGGTGGTCTCAGCATGGTGTTATTCACTATAGTTTTCTCCGATCTGGTCAAGCAATAACGGCAGATGTCTATTGTGCCGAACTCCGAACCATGTTGACAAAACTAGCAGTAAAACAGCCCCGACTCATGAATCGATCTTCACCATTATTGCTCCACGACAACGCGAGACCTCACACAGCACGAGAAACCATTTTGACCCTTCAGGAACTGCAGTTAGAAACCATTCGTCATCCTCCGTATTCACCAGACCTTGCTCCAACGGACTACCATTTTTTTCGTGATTTAGACAATTATCTACGTGACAAGAAGTTTTCTTCCCAGGAGGCAGTACAAAATGCTTTCACACAGTTTGTGCAGTCTAGATCGTCGGAGTTCTATCGCAAAGGCATTAATAACCTTCCCATTAGATGGCAGCAATGTATAGATAATAATGGCAACTATTTTGATTAAATAAATTTGTTAAAAATTTAAAAAATAAACAATTTAGATTTTCAGTACAAATCGGCAATTTCATAATTTAACCCCTATTATAAGCATTACTGCATTTCGGTTTCGAAGGGTGAAGGTACTGGTGAAATTACAGGCACATGGGACTTATTAACTTATAACTCAGGGTGACGGGCACAGTGGTAGTGCCCCTCAGATCTTTGTAATTTAAAGCTCTGAGTGGCACTGTAACTGTTATGGACAGGCGTGTAGCTTACCATCAGGCATACGACTACTTCGTCCCGTCACTTGATATTATAAAAAAAAGGAAAGATCATTCCGGTCCGGAAGGACAGATCACAAACAGACAGATTCTCAATACGACAGATTTCCAAAAGGACAAACTATTTATATTCGCATTAATAATAACTGCAACTGTTATGTATTGGCGTGACGCTTACCACTAGGCGCACAACTTGTATTTTATTTTCGTCCCGTCACTTGATATCGTTAAAAAAAACAAAAGCTAATTACAATCTAACTGATACTAAAGTTTCTGCTAACAATATTAAACGACCGAATTTCTTAGCACAGAATTCATCATCCTCATATACCTGGCCCTCAGCAGAGGATCGGCGGAGTTCGATCAGTTTGCCGGCTTTGACTTCGCAGCACCCTCCGTGGAACAAAACTCACAATTTGATCTAACACCCAGTACAACTACTGACCTCAGTGACACTATTATCGAAAATTCCTTTCCAACCAGTGATAATACTGTCGAAATTTTCCCACCACATTATCCCGCTGTCATAAATGCCCTATCAAGTGATACCATTGTCGGAGACTTTTTGCTAACCAATGACACTGCTATAGAAATGTTCCCTATAAGTGATTCTAATGTCACAAATTCCCCATCAAGTGATACTGCTGTCGGAGATTCCTACCTCAGTAACGACACTACTGTCGAAATTTTCCCGCCAAATGATTCCAATGTCAAAAATTCCCGAGCAAGTGATACCATTGTCGGAGATTCCTTTTCAAGTAATGACACTGCTGTCGAAATTATACCATCAAGCGATTCCACTATCATTAATGGCCCATTAAGTGACACCATTGTCGAAAATTCCTTTCAAATTAATGACACTGCTGTTGAAATTTTTCCATTAAATAATTCCACAATCAAAAATACCTCATTAAATAATACCAATGTCGTATATGCATATCCAACAAGTGAAACTGCTGTCGAAAATTCCTTTCCAATTAATAACACTGATGTTGAAATTTTTCCACTAAGTAATCCCACTATCAAAAATACCCCATCAAGTGATACCATTGTGGAAAATGTCTATCCAACAAGTGAGACTGCTGTCGAAAATTCGCTAGCAACTGATCTCACTGACAAAAATGCCCACTCAATTGATACCATTGTCGAAAATTCCCCACCTACAAGTTACACCACTGTAGAAGATTCTCCTTCCACGCATGATACCATGCAGAATACTACTAGTAAAACTACAGTTTTTATTGATAACAATGAATGGGGCAATGCACCAGCGGATTTGGAACCTCTTATCAACAATTACCCGTGCAGCAAAAAGGTATGTGTTTAAACCTTAGACTATTATTTTTTCCATCCTCTAAGGCCTATACAAAGTTAATGTATGACATTCTGACATAAAAATTATCTATGAATTTGAATACAGTCTTATTATATGAATTATAAAGTTTAATATTTTCTTAACAAATACTATTTAGAGTAAAAACAAAACATGATAACTACGAATACAAATTATATATCTATTTCTATCAAATAAGTTTTCCGTATTTGTTTTTTGAAAATTCTTTGAAGCACTAATTTACATTACGTCTTATATTTAGGGTGAGGCCAGACGAGTGTAATCTTTTGAGTAGTGAGTCGCATTTTTTGAGTCGCTTAATTAGCGCTGCATTCGGTTTCATCGATGACGCAAAATGTGTTGTCTTCCGACTCACTCGCGCAATTACAACTGAACGTTTTTTATATAATATGAAGTGACGGACAAACAAGTCGTGCACCTGATGGTAAGATACACGCCTGTCCATAACAATTGCCGTGCTGCTCAGATCTGAGGGGCACTGCCACTGCGCCTGTCACCCTGAGACAAGTTGACAAGTCCCATGTGTCTGTAATTTCACCAGCACCAATACTCTTCAAAACCGGAACACAGTAATGCTAATATTACTGCTTGAGGACAGAAATAAGTAATGTGGCAGTACTTCCCTGGACGTACTCTATCACAAAGATCTCTACTGCTACCAAAATTACTTCGGTTGCATTGTGTGCGCAATGTTGAGGAAAACATGTATTTGCATTTGGTAATATTTTATGATCTGGATGTCCACATGAACTTTCACATAGTATATGAAACTGCATGCATTGACATTGACTGGATGTACCAAGTGTCTCTTTCTTTTTCTAGCATCATGTAATGCTACAAAAATGCACACAATTTTTAATGGATCTATTACACTATATAACACTCACGCCTGTACAAAAGCTTAAAAGCATTTGATAAAGTACGTTCGTCTGACCGAATTTCGGTCGAACGTAAACTATGAGTCTCAATAATCTCTCTACAGAGTACTAAAAAAACCGACCTCAAAAGTTTGTGGAATTACATCTATTTGAAATCGGTTGCCGGAAAGTGCGCGAAACCGGAATCATCCCCTAGTTTGCCGTCCTTAGAAGTGGAATATTTTCCTTCAAATTCAAATGAGACCACTGCTGAAGTACCCTCTTTCCAGCAAAAAAAGAATCATCAAAATCGGTTCACAATTGCCGGATTTATCACGTAACATATATAAAAAATGACATACAGACGAATTGAGAATCTCCTCCTTTTTTCGAAGTCGGATAAAAACGTTCATATAAGTAAGTATTGCCACCTTACCTATTTCTGCCGCCAAGATGTGAGCTTTACTGCGTTCCGGTTTTGAAGGGTAGGGGTTCTGGTGAAATTACAGGCACATGTGATCGATCTTTGCAGTTTAAAGCTATGAGTGGCACTGCAACTGTTGTTAACAGGCTTATCGATCTGGCTGTGACTTGTTCGTCCCGTAAAAATACAAAACTGCGCTCATCTAGCCTCACCCTTATAGTTCGTATTAGATAACACTCGAGGTTCCTAATCATCACAAACAATAAGTCGAAAATCAGTTTTACCATAATTATGTTAACCTACCTTTCACTTTACTGCCCTGGAGAAAAGGACTTATTTATGTTTCTTTGCTCTGTCGGCTCATTACTCCAGTGAAAAAAAAAACTGGCAAAGCCGTTGATATCTTTTATACATTATTAGTCGAGATAGATAATTAAGTATCGCACCTCCGAGTTTCTCGGAATTTATGTGCTAAATGTAATTTGAAATTTACCATGAGCTTTTCAATGTGTAGAGACCCGGGCTCTGCAGGAGGACATGTAAACGTGCTGATGATGATGATTCTGCAGCTCCTTCACTTAAACTTTCTTTGATTTTAGGATTGTCCAAACAATTATAAAACAACGTACAAACCCCTTGATCTCGGGTTTATACTAACCCGTATACCCCGCGCAGACACGCGCCCATTGAACGATGTTCAACAACCTGACTGCCCTGTGGAGCCTACAATCCACATCGGATCTTTCGTGGTACCATCGAAACAAGATATAACAAAAACCATGAGGAAGTTACTTCAGAACACGTTTTCTAATTATAGAAATAAAACAATTTCCTTTCTTGAAGATATTGATAAGGTAACATATATAAAAGCACTTGTAAATTGTAAGGATCACTGACATGTATTTTAAACCATGCATTTATTGTAACCATTTACATATATGGTTACCAAATTAATAAGATAAATTCACCTGTATCTACCTAAGTAGCAGTAGTTATAATATAAAGAAAAAAAGGATTGAAGAGGTTGAAAAGCAGATTCTTCTTTACGGATAAGCACCATCCTGACAAATGTAACGTGAGTTAATCGCCCTCTTTTCGATAAGCCTAAGCATCCAACACTAAAGTCTCCAACACTAAAGGGTCCAACACTAATCTGTCTATGTGAACGTTTAGGTTTTCCAAGACGCGTGTTCTCATAAAAGATAAAGTGAAGTGTTAATAGACATTGAATAACAAAGTATACCTAAGTTATGTCGTGTATAAACAGATACACACCTTTCTATCCTATCGCCATCCAGTTTCAAAAATCAACCGCGATGATTTTGAGTCAGATGACGAACTTTCTTATACGATTAAATCTAGATTCAAATTCGGTATATTATACATACATGTATAGTCTTGTTTTTAACCGACTTTACAAAAAGGAGGTTCTCTATTCGACTCTATATTTTTTTTAATGTGACGCGATACGGCATTTGTGAACAGATTTTGATGATTCTTTTTTTGGAAAGAGGGTACCTTAGTAGTGGTCCCAATGAAATTTGAAAACTAGGGGATGAATGATTTTAGAGGTCGGTTTTTTGTACTCTGTTCTGAGGTTATGAAGTAATGATAACTGCCGTTTCTTTATCCAATTTATTGGTTTTGTTCTTGTACATTCATAAATTATAATAAAATTTACCCATTATTTTATGTAAATAATGATAATTTATAAACATTTGAAACAATTCTCTGTACCAGGCTAGAAAAACAATGATAGATGAAGAGAAAAGTTGTTTCAACAAAACGGAGTATCATGAGTGCGTGGAGCATGTCAGCAGTGGAACGAAAATGATAACTTCTAGCCTTCTACATTCGATGGATAATACGATGAAAAACATCGAATTTCTCTACGAGGTACTGACTGCTCTTTTACGAAAAAACCCACCCCCTAAATCACACAGTACGTAGTACTAAATACACACATTCAAGTTACACTTAAATTATTAAATACTGAATTTATTAATAATCGGCATCGTTTTGTAATTTTTGTTTTTTATATATAATATCAAGTGACGGGACGCTTAAGTAAGCCGCACGCCTGTCCATAACAGTAATTTTAGTAATTTGTTATAAATATCACGATTGCGTTAAGAGGGTCAGGCAGATTTTTATTCATTCAAATTCTACATTGCTAACGATTCTTCTTCTTCTTTTAAATGTTATGGCCTCATCGAAGTAATCGATGATTTCGCCAATGTCGAGTTGAGGAAAGCACTGATTATCGATTGTAACTAAAATTATGTAAGTGACAGAAAGTAGCACAGAACAAATAACTTTTGTTTCACGTCTACGTCGTTTTTTATCAAGACCACCAGATTTCTGTGATCAAGTCGATTCAGGTGGGACACTGGTGGTGCAGTGGGTAGCTATGTTTAAGTCCCTACCTTCTACCAAAGATATTCCTCGTTTATAGTCAATTTCATTAAAAGGATGTTATTATCACTCGACCAGAAACATATGGAAGAAAGCCAAATATTTGGGACATAACAAATCAAAAAGTGAAAGATGAATGTATTTCATTTTTTATTTCGTACATACATACCTACACCTATATTTATAGGATTGTCCCAATACAAATTAGTGTAGCATTTGTATAAAATAACAATAATACTGATTAATAACAATTAATTACTGGCTATTCTATTCAATAATAATAACGAAGAATAAAAATAATTCATTATAGTCCATTTATTTAGGTACTTAACTAAAATAAACAACCTTGATATATCTTTTTATTGAAACATATACGTTACAAATCAATAGGTATAAAAATAGGCATGCAATTGCATATGTAGCTAAATATATTTATTTATTTTTAATATATTATGTATTTTGTATTTGAAGATAAGTAAAAATCATTTTATAAATATAAATGTATATTTCATTAAATAAACATCTCAAGATTGTTTACATTTAGGTAAGTAGCTAAACAAGGGGACTATATGCACATACACTCTCAAAACAAGTAAAAATGTCTACCACTACAGCTACTCGATTTAGAATGCCCTAAAAGCACGGCAGCATTACCAATTTTACTTACAATATTACTGTAACCAGATGATGAGGTTACAGTGTTTTCGAGTTATTGGAAATAATCATTTAAGTGTAAGAAAAATGTTTCAGAGCTTAAAATGCAACCTATCCGACCCCGCAACCGTAGATGATCCAATAAAGCTGATCAAATTAATAGCCTCTGAGACGGCTACAATCGACTTCGCCATGCCAGGATATTTACGACTATTATACACTTGCTTCAGGTTTTGTGAGAGGTGGGTATAATTAGTCATCATTCTCCTGCCACTACATAAGTGTGTATGTCCTCCTGTCGTTACATGCGTTGACGGCATGTATATGAAAAACAAAATGGCAGCTGGTAATCGCCATCTTGTTTTTCGTCTTTCACTCAGTGCCTTCATCTTTCTTTAGACTTCATTTTTTTTAATTCCTTATTTCCTTAACCTTATTAGTATATGCGATTTGGGAAAAATAATATAGGTATGCGACATTCGCTACCACTATGGATAGCTACGTACCTAGGTATACCTACTGTTAATATTACAAACCTAAGCGAATTTCGCTACCGTGCCCTTCGACGAAACCAATTTCGCAAAGCAAGCGAATAGATACCGCCGACCTTGGCAGTTCATACAAAATAATACCCGATGGGATACCGCGCGGTATTTTTCGCTACCCACAGCTGTAGCGAATGTTGCTTAAATCTAAATAGGCCTTAAATGCCTCAAAGCTAAATTGAGCGCAAAGCGAGAAGATCCCCACTGTAGGCCTAATTATATCAATTAAATTGGTATCCGTATTCTATACATTATTCTGAAAGAACATAAAAAAATCCGATTTGTTTAATTGTCTGGCATATGCGATAAATAGTATTGAATTAATTTTTAACCGCACATGATTTTTATTATTTTTTAATTTTTTTGTTTCAGGCGTTCAGAGGACATAACTTCAATCGGCATGCATAGTCATCCAGAGAATTTTAAAAAACTAATTCAGCCGCAGCCTCAAGCTACTAGTCGACTCGATTCAAATCCTAAAGATTCTAGACATTTTTCATTGCATTTGTCATCGCGCCCTCATTACAAGAAACTTCGTCGAATGATCACTTTGAAAGTAAAACCGTCAGGAGGATTCAAATATTTGAATGTTGACCGCATTTCTTATATTAAAAACATTGACTTACAAATAAATGGACGACGGGTCTAATACAAAAACCACGAAAAAAATGTCCCAAGTCAACCTATTCGAAATTTAAATTGTAATGTCATCGCAGTATCGCGCTGTCAGTCGAACAAATAAAGACTAAAGCGGAGTTTGGCGCTCTGTATACGATTTTAGCGCCTTACAAGTGCGGACACTTTTTAGCGCGGACCCGACGTCCATTTAATTGTAAGTCAATGATTAAAAAGCAATAATTTTCCTCGAATATATATTTTGTTAAAATGAAATTCCGTATTTACAGTGCCTACAAGTGTTTGTTAACAAAGTGCAACGCACG